GGAAAAGCCGCTGAGGTACCTCAGTGTTAGCAATCACTCATGGTAAACTTTCGGTGGATCTGCTGCGGTAAAGTTAGAACGTCAACAGACGCAGTCTGTAGTGTCACTAATAAAATATTACACAAAGTGTCATTAGCTCAGTCTCCTTTCTGATTGTAAGTTTAAGGTTGATAGTTAACTACTCGACAATTCCTATTTGTGGAGGGAGGAGGTGGTAGTGCCCTATGGGACGTTAAAAACCAAGGTATTAAGGGCTCGATCGGCCGTTTTATGCAATGGGAAAGGAGCCCAGTTAGAGTCAGCACAAAATAACTCAATAATTCCAGCCATAGTTTCATAGCCAACTGAGTTTTATGGATGAAATAATAGTGGGAACTCATTTAATCTTTCATGTCTGTCATGTCTTACGACTGCAATTTACTGGCGAATACATGTCAAGTTTGACTTGGTTTCTAACTCTACAAAGCTGTTGATTCCGAGGAACGATATTTATAGAGTTATTACCAACTAAAGCGGCAAATTAGTGAAATACACTCATTTGCAAACAGATTTCGTTTTGCCAGGGACTCTTCTCTAACCCAGCTGAATCTCTTGTTTGTGATGTATCCAGGCAACTTGATGTGCTGCACCAGGCCGTCCCTTGTTGCAGTCGGCACGATATTCGAGATATCGCGATACATGCATATTCGTAATGCACTACTCATAAGGCTGCTGAGTATATACAACTAACACAGCACCTAAATAATGCAAGTAGGAAATTGTCATCTGCAGCTGTCTCAGCAAATTTCATGAAATTCAATGATGGTGTTGTTTTTCCAAATGGAAACGTATGTGGCCTCTGGCTCACACGTTTTTTCAACCCGACCGAAATATCGATAGTGAGCAGCGCTCCTCGGCTCTTATGGTTGGGTCAAATCTGAAACGGGTTTCCACTTGCAACAACCTGAATGTGTCTATGAGTTCGATTGCCTACCTCTCTGCGGAACCAAAAACCGGGCCCCAGATTCAAAGTATGGTCACAATTTAAAATATATTTAGTTAAGCGTTCGGGCTACTAAAAGGTTTGTCAAAAAAGGCCGAAACAAACCGAATAAAGCAGATAATTTGAATAAAGTAGACAGACGAGCAGGTAAGCAAATAACATGACATACCGTAGAACTGCATTGTTAGCCATTTACCGCCCAAAAATAGCCATGATATAATATCACAATTAAACGTTGCAGTGCTTAATAAAAAGGCTTTCATAAAGCGGGGAATAAAGCGTTCAAGAAAGTGTAGAGCGGTCATTTTCTGCAGTGAATTGGACTGCATGAAGCTGCCCCAGTGGACGGTTGTTCTTCGCAGAAAAACTAAAGCAGGACAACACACAAGAAAGGGTCTGAAACACAGAATATTGGTAAATATGTTGGGAGTAGAGAAGCCTTAACAGTGAAAAGATGAGGCAAGGTAGCTACACTAGCCGGATGTTACCACGAGTATCTTGATGCATGGTATGCAGTGCCAGCTCACCCTTAAAACCAGACATCATCGTCGTCGACAACATAACACTAATATTTAACATTGCTGCTTCGCGGCCGTACAACCATGATGTTTTCGAAGGACTTATTGTAAAGAAAAGAATGAAAGCGGGTCGGGAAGGGACTCAGTGCTGGCTTACTGCAGCCATTCCGAATCGCTGACACTTCCAGACACGAATTCAGCTAATCTGGGTAGAAACTAAAAACAGGCACGCCGGTGATAATGACTAGCAGCCATATCTTGCAGGCAGTAGGGATCATGTGATCCCCATTAAAATCAGACGAGGCCATAGAGATACAAGCCTGTTCATAGGTGTTAGCGAGCAAACTGACCACCTAAATGAGTATTTTGTCCCACGAAATGCACTCGTTTGGACACCAATTTGGTGTCTAGAGACTAGAATGCATCCCTTGTTTGTGATTTTCTTCAACTGAATGCATTGCACAAAGGCCGTCTCCTGTTTTGGTCAGTACGATATTCTAGAATTGACAGTAATTTTTTAGGGAAACTTTTCACAAAGCTGCTGAAATATCTTCAATAGCCTGCGAAAGGTTTCGTTTTGCTAAGGGTTGATCAGGTAGACACAGTCCCCAAGTTTCTGTCAAGCCTAAGTTCCATTTGTAAACAAACTGTACGAAATTCGCGAGCTAGACTGATTCGCACACCATTTTTTTGCCGAGAGATTCAACTGAAACCTAGATGAATCTATCGTTTATGATATCTTCCAACTGAATGTGTTGCACAAAGGACTTCTCACGTTTCAGTTGTTACAATTTACAGGATGCCGCCCCGAAGATGTTGGTGTAAAGACCGCCGAGTCCCCAAGTTCTGTCAAGCCTAAGTTCCATTTGCAAACAAACTGTACGAAATTCGCGAGCTAGACTGATTCGCACACCATTTTTTTGCCGAGAGATTCAACTGAAACCTAGATGAATCTATCGTTTATGATATCTTCCAACTGAATGTGTTGCACAAAGGACTTCTCACGTTTCAGTTGTTACAATTTACAGGATGCCGCCCCGAAGATGTTGGTGTAAAGACCGCCGTTCACGTGGTTGAGACGATTTTCTAAAATGGCCGGATACTGCCGTAAAAAGAAGCTCCACCACATCCACAAAAGGCTTGACTTCAAAAATTCATAAATACTGCGATCAGATAAGACAAAAATACCTGCTAACTTACTTGCCAAGACTACTGTCTCTCATTGAGCAGTGACTGCACAAACTGGTGAAGAAACACATACTGATCCTGAAGAGAATAACAGAGCGGTGTAAGCTTAGCAGTGAAACCTTTTTACGTGTAAATGAATACGTGTAAATGGATATGATGGGTAGCAACTCCAGAACTGCGAAACTCGGCGGAACACAGTGAAATGATAACGAAAAGGAAAAGGTGAGGGAATTAGTGCTACTCAGCCTCCAGAGGTCTTAGTGGCTTCCACACTGACAAATTAGCACTGTCAACCGTCCACATCAGTTGACACTCACATAACACAAATCAGCCAGTTGGATTAAGGATGTAGCACTTATAAACTGCTCTTTTTCATGCTCAGTATCATCTTCCTTTTGCCTACCAATATTAGTCACATCACTGTACAAAAGTTTGTTTTACTGAAATACAACCGCTACCGCTCGCCTGTTAGGTCCAAAGTGACTTTGAGACTTTTGCTGAGTGACTGTTGTTGTGACCGCCGGTCGGTTATATTTGGCTGCTACTAACTCTAAACGTGAACAAACATTTTAGCTACAAACACTGGACTAATATATTCAAACTTGTGGGTTAATATTCCGGTCACTGGGGATCTGGAATACCAGGAAGATAGAACTTTTCTTGGTGTGGTGATTCAACGGAATACGGGACTGAGGAATCTCCTATTTTGAACTGTGAGTCAAGATTTACTTGGATTTTTCTCCTTGTGACTTTGTATCTGGCTTACACTAGTAATTTGTTCTGTTCACTAGAGACTCCATAGGGCCGTTAACCACTACAAGGATAAGGATGGATCGCAACTCAGGAGACTAGTCACAGGAAAGCACCGCAAGCTTTTTGTTTCAGCTAGCAATTGCGGCTTGTGTCATTTCACAGATGCTGCTCGGAAAGCCGATTGTGTCCCTATCATAAATCAGCTATTGTACCAAATGACCAAGTCATCGCAGTTTAGAATGGTGGGCGTAGCGATCGGCATGGATATATGCACATGGTTGATATTCCAAGACTCAGGCAATTAGACAAAAAAGAAGAAATTTCTGATTCATTCCACTAGATGGAGAAATCGTACCATGGATGCACACAGATCGGGCTATTCCTAGAGTGGTACCTCCTTCTTTGAGAATATTCGCAAGGATTGGGTTTTACCGACAAGGTGCATCATAGCTTGGTCCCATACCCCAAATCAAACCATGAGGAATGTTGCGGGCAGTGGAACAAACGCCGTCCGACATTGCAGTGGGTACCATGACTCGGAGGTGGATACGATACCAATCGAAAGGGAATTGCACACCACGAAAGCGTCATTAGTGATGGGATGAGAATTCTGCTCATATTTAACCCCAGTGACTAGCCGTAGGTAACAGCTGATCTGGCAGTGAGTCTTCTCACTACAGTATGCTCCGTTACAAATCACGATAGATGAAGGTTTTTCTAAAGAATTGGTGTCCAATTATTGTTATACTGTACCACATAAAGTGGCTTGGAGTGTGGTGGAAGGGATGACGTGGTTCACACTGACTGGATTGCTAATCTTCTGATACACCACAAATCACCTCTACAATATATCGCACGAGAACTAGAGCTAATTTGTAGAACAGGCTTTGCATATTCCTTCAGTTACTTCCAATTAAACCTAACTGTTGCAGAGATCGATCCTGGATATTTGACAACAGGCCCAATTTTCGACGGGTCTTTTTTCGCTCTTGTCATCAGAGCACCTCGACTGACTGGAGCATTTATCGCCGTCTGACGCATTTCCTCTGTTTCTGCAGGTATAACTCACTCCACGCAACCTGGTGGGACTGAAAGAATCGCAGTGTCGCTGTGACGGATGATATGAAAGAGAAGATGAAGAAAGCGAGATTGACGGAGGAACTCCGGAAATGAGTTTGCTTTTGCGATAAATGGGCTACTTATACGTCTTGCCATCGTGACAGGAAAGGACACTACAAATTGGCTCGAGCATACAAAAAATCATCCAAAATATGAACAAAGTTTTTGGTTTTTTAAAGGGGTGCTTGTGACTGATGAGGTCCAGGTAGAGATCGTGTTCTGACATCATTCTATCTAGTTGAATCGCCGAACAGAGAAACGGATGCTAAACCCTCGAAAAGAAAAGACTTCCTATCTGAAAAGCATGAGATCCTCGGTAGAAAAGAGTGCTATCCACCACCAATTACTTACCACTTTTTGGACCATATGCATTCGACAGAAACGGAGTTGGGAGACGGTTCCATGAATGTCAAACCATTCCACATCACTGTCCATTTGTCTTTTGATGATATCAGCAGCAATGAAAATCCCCGTGCGTCCAACACCAGCACTTTAACCGGTGCAAAGAAAAACGTAATGAATTAGTGCTTACAGTAAGATAACCTTCTTAGTATGAGTGGAACAACCAGATCTTGATATTGTCTAGCTATGACACTCTTTCAGTCCCTAGCTGCAACGCAACCCGAAGAACGCCAGCGAACCAAGACACTGTCGCAGCTGCTGTATGCCAGTCATTTCATAGCCGCAGGTTTCAAAACAACAGGGAATGGTTGTTGGACTGACAGAATCCTAAGTGCACTTAGAATTTTCCTATACCAAGAAGGGTTTTCCAACAATCTTAGATACCCAAGTAGAAACCTAACTGCCTTCAACAATTTGATGAGTGGTGATGTACGTGGAAATGAGATTAGGCTTACAGAGATATTAATGCACATTTACCGGTTGTATGACTCTGGCGTTTAACGGAAAATATAAGAAACACAATAATTTAAATTTTGGTCAAGAAACCGCTCGGTATTGGGCTTTCTCGTTGCTCGAACTGTACAACCGCAAATTCTGCACCGACAACTAAGATTTTGAATAGTCCTCAGCCAGATACATCTGTTTTTGATAAAAATATCATCTGCGTACAAAGTTAAATAGGAGGTACAGTCGTTTGAAATTTTGGCCCCTGCACTCAATTTGTGCGCACCGATGAGGACAAAACTTGTGGTAATTGCTCGAATGGTCGACGCACGCATTTCTGTAAAGACTGCTCCTGAGCCATCACTTGCATGTATCTACCAAGTGTGACCATTGCCATCATTATCAGCTATAATAAACGCGTACTTGTCGGGGCTGCGTCGTTGTAGCTGCCATAATTTTGTCCACCGATGATTTGGGGAGATGGAGTAGGTTAGTGCGCATTGGAGGCGGAAGCTAATAAATTGGTGCGGAAATTAACGGGCCGTCAGTATACTTTTGAATGAGGAGATTGAGAATGGAGATATGCATTGAAGGCGATAGGTTGGATACATGAGCGCCAGTGAAGGCAAGACTATGCCATGTCTGACAATGTCCCTAGCCATTGATGTGGCCCGTCCCGGGGTCCCCATCCAGGGAGACGGCACTGACCAGCGCAGCCAAATTTGCTGGTAATGTCTTTCATAATTCACTGCCAAGTCATTGTTCGACCCCGCCTGGCTCGTTTCCACCATTCGCATGGTTCTTCAAAAAGAATCCTTTGAGGAACACAGTCTACTGTTATACGGAGCAACTGGATAAACCAGCGCGATCTGTGGAGCATGATCAGTTCATCCATCGGGAGTGGTGTACAGCGCCTTAAAGAGGGTCAAGTATTTAAGGGGGACACCTTTGCTCAGCACACTGCCATGGTATCTGATGCTCCACAGAGTCAAAGGCAACTTTCAGATCAAAGAGTGGCAGAAGCAGTATCGCCATCCCAGAATCTGTCGAAGGGTGAGGATTTGGTCAGTGCATCCATTGCAGGACGGAAACCAGCTTAGAGTTCACGAATCTGCCTCCAACTGTGTTCAGTCAACCGTAGAAATCTAAGACAAGAGAGAACCTTCGATGCCACAGCTACCAGGCTGACACCACCGTGTTTTTCCCACAGCGTCCGCGTACCCTTTTTGAAGCTATGAATGACTGTTGCTATGTTCTATCCTGAAGGCACTTTCTCTTCGTTCCGTATAGCACCTATAAGCTTTGTCAGATTGGTCGCCATGGATTCTCCGCCTTCTTTGAAAAAGGCTGGATACAGACCGTTTGGTCCTGGTGCCTTCTCTTGTTCCAGTACCGAAATTTCGTACTTTATTTCTTCGGACGGGGAATTTAGGCCTACTTTCCACTTTCCCATAGCACTATCTCCTCAGAGAGTGTTGTAGAAGGCCGGCTCACCTGTTCTTCGAAATGTTTGGCCCATCTTTCCAGTCGATATTTTTGCGAGTGAATCATAAAGCCGCCTTGTTTACTTATCGTTTCACTGATCGCTGCTTACCTGTGGCTACTATGTAGATTACACGTACAAAAAAATTGTCATACCTTTGTACACGCTTTTCGTCTGTCTATTCGATTGGCCGGCAGATTATAATGATTCAATTCAGATTATTAGTATACATGTTGATTTTTCAATTTCCAAAGAAACACTGACTACAAGACCGAGTATTTCGGAACTTGGGACGTAAGCGATACAAACTAATATGATTTCTAAAGGGAATTCCGGCGCTTCACAACTGGCACAAAGCACCGAAACTAGCTTTCAACGGTTATGTTCAGGTTATACACGAACAATTAAAAATTTAACCAAGACTTGGTAGAACCCACAGTAGTGACCCAATCAACAAGGTCTCCATCCGATACGTAAAGTTTGTTAATAGTGCGAACTAAAATTTTTTTCTGTCTTTTGGCGATCTTGGTACCATAACAAGGGCTATGACCTTCACGATACTGATGTTCATACGCAGAAAATGACTGCAGTTTTCACGATTTCTGGACTTTTGGACGAATGGTTCTGGCTCCTTTTGAATGAGGACCAAAGGATAACATATCACACCCAAAGTGCTCGTATGCCTTTACTAAACATCTTTGAGAAAGTTGGAATACAGGAGGACGTAAAAATGCATCTGTATTCCCAACCATTCATACATCGGATGATAACAGGGAGTGTTTGAACGGATTGGTACATTACATTCCAATTGTTTCTTTAGTGGCTCAACTTTATGCCACTGCCGAAGATAGAGATTTGGATGGAAACCACTAGTAGAGTCCTACGATGCGTACACTAACAGTGTATTGCATGAAAACCATCTGGTCGTTGGCTTGTTTGCTGAGCTGAGTAATTTGATTGCAAACGTTTCATCACCGATCGAAGTGACATCATCAGTGCGTTATTGGGGAGCATGGTGGTGCGTAGCGGTGGGTTAGTGGTTGTTCGATCTGCCATACACCTATTCACATCAACGTACACCGTGGTTATACTCATGTAAGTACAAGGTTAACACAGGGGAAGCATGAGACCAGTCCTATCTGAAATTCGAACAAACGGTTGAACATCTTTCCGTTCCAGTTCAGATCTACTACGTCTGACGTTCTAGGGAAGGACCTTATAAAAAGGCACTTGACTGGTGGCGTGGTGGACCATTAACTCTCAGAGGCCCTCCACGAGCGGTGTTCCGCTGCTTACAGTCTATGCTCGCCTAGATGAACCAACTGGCCGCCGTTCCATACTTACTACTGTCTACTCCCTGGCAGTGAAATACTCAAAACGCAACAATTTGAAGGCTGGCTCTATGATATCAGGCTAGTCTGGCTACATTTTTGCCAAGACAATTTACACATCAAGCCATGCATTAGGGCAAATGTCTCCTACGTCGCAACAAACCAACCCTTACCCTTAGTTTTCTTCAGCTTCAGTCATACAACAAATGAATTTTTCATGAGGAACACAAACACGCAGCCCTATAAAGCATGCTGAGACATTTCGGAGAACTTATCCAACTGTCCTCAGAGAGGACGGCAGTCACAAACCTGCAGTGAACCAAAGTTGGTGCATCCTTGTTCACGTCCGACATTTTTAGTTTTTGATATTCATTTAACACTGTGGCGAACTCGGCCAGATCTGGAACTCCATGGTCCGGCCAGAGTTTCATGTGCAGCTGAGTCACAACTGCAGGCTCAGACTCATCTGCGCCCTGAAAAAAATCAGATTAGAACGAAAGGCTTAGTTATGTCATATACGGCAAAAAAAATCAACTTGTATAATCCGATAGCCAATGATATTTGGTATAAAAGGAGCTCCAGCAGTACAGCTTCCTTACTCTGCAGGGACCACATTTAGGAGAGAAAAAAACCACAGGTCGTGTTTCAAGCCCATCTCTGTGGCTCATTTCAACGGCGACCCACTTTCTTGGAAGCTACGTCTACCTGAAATCCTGGTTACAATGAGGCCGTTCACATGGAAACACCTGCAGTGAAAGGTGCCCTAAGCACATGGCGTACAAAAACAGATGAAAGCTTTTTTGAGATTAATTATTTGGTCTAAACGAAAGCTTCCAAGTCCAGTAGAAACTATACCGCACAAAAGTTTGTCTTGTCACAAAACACTGAGAAGCTGGATGGAAGAAGGGACATTTTGCAAAAACAAAAACAAAAAAACGAAAGAATACCATGGAAGACTTAACTCGATCGACCGTACTCCATAATGGGCGGTTATATGCTAGAACAATTCAGGATCAGGCTAATAGATGGAAGTGCAGTAGCGAACTACCATCGACCTACTACGACCCTGTTTAATACAGTCAGATATCTGTCTACAGTACCACCACTTTAATAATGGGAACAAACTTGGCTTTAGATCATACCGGAGAACGAGTATGGTAACTCGAAGAACAGCTTGTTGTCAGAATGTTTAGGTATCCTAATCTTATCACACGTAACATCAGTCGAGGGCGGAGCGATCTGGAATCTCCCTTTTTTGGTGTTAGCCAGTGAGCGAGCGCATGATACTCAGAATGTATAGCTAACATACGGCTTGTTCTAATATCTACAAAGATTCCGGATGTGCACGCTTTCTATAGTTTCCAGTTAGGGTGTACCATCTGTTCAGCACTCCTCGATTGCATCACAGGTGAGCTTGGTCCACACGGTAAGGCACGAGTCTGATAGGTATTTAGAGCCCAAACTTCGCTTCAATCAGTGGCGTGCTTCGTTACGAATAGCGTATGAACGAAGGTAGACACATCAGCAAGGAATAGGTCAAATGGGTATACGCCTTAATCACTTGAAACTTCGAACGCACAGTTGACATCCTCACATGCTGCAATCATTCTCTCCAGACAACGTATTGATCTGGTACACCACAAGCAGAGTGAAAAAGTAGAGGTAAAGCAGTCAAAACCAAATAGGTATGCAAATTATTGTAGTTCACTGAATCAGTAGAAGAGTGCGTTCTGGGAAATCGCATCACAAAGGAGCATGGCGTCAAAGTAATATGGTCCTGTAAAACAGTGTTGGGGTAGAAGTCCAGTCTACTTCAAAAAAACTATTTAGCAAAACCCTAAATATCATTTGTCCAATACTAACTGACACCACACAATAATCCCAGAAACGTCGGAAATTCTTCCAGAAAAATGGAATTCAGTGATAATTTAGTACCGTAATTATCGTGTTTTTATCATTTGTAATGTTTTTTTTGCTACGTCCTTCGTTGCGCAGCAGTTTAAAGGGAAAAATCGGTGATATCTGGGGAGTTCTTAACAATGGCTATCTCACTGCAAAAGTTCTGCGTAAGATGCCCCAGACTTTACACAACATGCAACTACCTGGCCTAAGCTGCCACGATGAATTTTGGCTCTTTTGATTACTGACAAACAAAATGCTTCGCTCTTCTTGCTTAATATTTTCACATACAATCCAAGCTCGCCATATTTTAGTCACAAAGCTAAGAACAATGTCTTCAGTCGGATTCCAGCAGAAAAAGGCAGATTTGTTAGACAGAAGTCTCGAAAGACTGTTTATCAAGCATGACAGACTTCAGTGACTTAGGTAAAAACATCTAGCAAAGTTCAAGTCATGGGCACAGCCAGGGGATGCGGTGTGTAGCTAAGTTGGAACATCCAGAGAATGTTCACATCGAAGAATAAAAAAGTGAGCACCCACGACCGATCTCCAAGCTACAAGGTGTTCCTGTAGCCGAGTCATTCCGTCTCCACTCCAATCACAAAACTGGACCCCAACCCGAGTGCCGTTAGTTCTCAACCACTGTTGTAAAAATCTTACCTACATTGTGATCATACATAGCTCCCCGTCCCAGTTTCCTCGTCCTTTCTACATAATCCATGGTCGTTGAAAGCGTTCTTCTTTCATGGCCTCTATGGTCTTTGGGCTTCTCACTAAATTCATTCACACAAGATAATCAAAATTCACAACTCTTAGATCTTTCATGCTATGACAGATTCGAATGTATTTTCCATCCAACAAACACGATGTTTTCGCGTGTAGAATGGTGGAATTGTTCAGAAACTCACTGAAACCAGATTGAACCTTCTGATAACGTAGCTCGGATAATCTTCTTCTGAGATCATCGTCACTGCAAGCTCTTTTCCATGACACATGTGAATAATGGTTGCATTCACCTCGTCTGGCCAGTACGCAGCACATTTGGGCACGTTTTGTTCGACCAGTCTGCAAGTGGAGCAGTCGAGGGTACAGTGATTGAGTGTGAACAGATGTAAAAAGCTTCTGCGTGAATCCATAGGGACAAGAGTCTTCATAAAGAAGCCAAGAAGGTGTCGAATTACATATTCCCAAAACGTTCATGGGTTAGAAATGCGCTCATTTTACAGCCGACCCAAGCACATCGTGGTCACGGCAGCATTAAAAACTCGACAGCCCCAATTGAGAATACGATCAGTGGAGTTCTTCGGTGAGTAACCAGCGATTATCCTGGTCTTATCGACTGGTCAAGAAAATGCACATAGTTTGCACGACGGATACTCAATTGGTCATATATTTTTCTTGCTGAGGAGTTGCTAAATCTACGATCGTATAACCTTGGTAAGATCGGAATGATTTATCCTGCGATCGATATGTCTACTTCACCCGGTGGCAACCTATCTCTTCTGGTACGCCAGGCCGATCTGAACCCATATACTTTGCGCTATCCTTTTTCCATGTAAATGGGGCCCAAAGTTGACGTTACTGTGTTTTAATTAGGAAACTTACTGTGTAAGCATTACGATTAGTGAGATACGATTTTCAGCAATCATCTCCCAAAAGTCCACGACCGTCTTCTTCAACGGTCCTTGTGCGGCAATGTATTCCACCTTTGATTGATCCAGTTGCGGTGCGGTGTATGCGTCCTTGCACGGAGTGACCGCGTAGATGTAGCTGGCATTGATGTAGTATTCAGCCTAAAACACAGGAATAATGTGCTTCAGTAACGCGGACGGAGTTGAATACATTAGATCCTGGTGTATTGATACGATTGATGAATGGGTTCAAATGCTATGAATCCACCCACACCAAGATATGGTCTATTAGCCTGAAGTTGGAGACTAAGGAAATAACGCGTTATTCCGAACTCCCCGAGGCTTTTTTCTCAAGGTAACTATATATATATATGTGTATATAAAATCCCATTGTGGAATGATACGAGTTTTATTTTGAGAAAGCTTTTTTTCCTACCTACGTGTACTGTCGTTTGGTGGGCGGAAACAACCTGATGGTTTTCTGATTGAATATAACATAAGTAAGTCATGCATCAAACCCTACCGGGTATGGCTTTCTTGAGATCCTCAAAAGTTGTTTTAAGTCAAGTTTTTGGTCTAGCTTAGTGTGACATCATTCAGACCGGGAAGAGAGGCGCACCCGAAAACCTAAACTCAAGTTCTGTTATCGCATGGAGGCGTAAAATGCAGCAAGGTCCTATCCAAAGTAACTCAGTTCTGTAAGATTTTTGTATCTGTGGATTACAACTTCAAAACGGATGAAAAATTCTCATATGCCCAGCACAGTTCATAGCAGAAGAAGGATATGCCCGCAGTTGAGTAGATTTTTTTCACACTCAGCTTAAATTAGGCTTCCTTGAGTGACACCATACTACCGCTGAGACAGTCTTCGCTAATTATGCTTTAGTGTATTTCACGCTTCTATAATGGAACTGTTCACGTTTTCTTGTACCCCGAATTGCATACGAACCTGAGTGTCAGCGGGACGGGTGCATTGTCCGTCCGGACAACGATAGGATTTAAGTGTACAGAGCATGTTTGGAATGGACAGCACTGATAGAATGTACATGAGCTTGTTCGGCAATGGTTTGAGCTAACAGGACCCTGAGTTCGGTTCACCGGGTATCAGGCTTGCAGTCGGATGCTATTAGCCGAGCACGAGTAACAAACGACGGCACAAAAAGGTGCATCCAATGCTCATACAAGTCATTCATCGCAATGTTACAGAACTGTACTGGTTCGCATTAAATTTAAAAATCCAACTGCCTGTATCCTTCCCAATTCTATGGGATAGCACTTAGGTATATTAGCTCAGTACCCACCGTTGCGCTGCCGTATCGAAATGTTAGAATAAACGACCAGCATAAGGCGTCAAAAATAATCTACCCACAAACTACCTGTAAACTGATTGCTTTAACAAATGATTTTAGTGAATAAATCGCGTGCATTCCGAAAATTAGGGGTTGGCTGGTCAGCATAATCCCTCTATCGTAGTGATTGATCTCGATACACATATGTTAGCCAAGTTCATCACTTTTGGAGAACTACTGTTTATTTTCTATCACCAGCGTAATGAGTGACCATTTTCAGCACTCACTCAGAACCACTAATTCTTTCTGGTTAGTGTGATGAGAAAAGAACGAACGCCAAGAAACAAGCACACACGGACGCTTCGACGTAGCCATTGTTAAGGTGTATGGTACTGATTCAGCTGGTCAATGTGAAGTAACTATGTCGGATGCCGAATGAAGGACGTACATCATCAGACACAAACAAGCTTTCGTGATACTCATAAGCATGGCTGGTGTTATAAAAAACGTATTTCTAAATTACTACTATGTGATTAACCAATGTAAATAGTTCGGCATGTTAGTACATTGTGTAGGCAGTTGCAGTTTTCAGGTAACCCAAATGAATCGGTTTCAACATAGCAAAAAGTTAATCCTATCAAAACTTTTATATATCTATTTCAAGACGACAACAACTTCAATTATTCGAAAAATTTCAGGGAAACATAGAAGGACCACCGAGAAATGAAGTATTGTTTTAAATTCTGCTGCAATTTTTTTTGAAATGTTTGGCATTTTGTTTGGTTTTTTATTATCACTCACTTCCTCCCCAGGAGTATCACTTTTTCCGAGTAGAACGACAGTTTGATCGTCTAAATGTGGATGTGTCGATGGAAGGTAACATTAATTAGGAATCACTCTAAGACGCTCAGAATACAGTGAAAACATAGTTGAAAAGTAGGTATTTAAAGCGCAAATGAGTAGCTGCATTCGGAAATAAAGAAAGCTGCCAGGTATCGGACCACAATGCTCAGTAGCAACAGGATTATTCAGAACATATGTGGCCAGCTGTAAGCAGACGTAAATGAACCTGCAATTTTATACAACTTTGATCAGATTCAAAACCTGCCCAAAAATCACCTGCCAGTTTGAAACCGAGGCTATTGTTTCAGGTGTTTGTGGATCCAGGAAATGGTCGAAATAAGTGGCAAGGAGTACGAAAACGGTCGTGGGTTGTGGAAGAACTCTCAGAAACCTTAGGAATGGTGTGTTCGGTCCAGAAAATGGATTTATCCGCTCCGATCGACTGATGTGAAAACAAAAGTCGGTGTTTTCTTGGAACTTTACATTTTGTGGGAAATGTCCAACTGAAATCTGGTTTTAAGTAAACCTGTTGCTTGACGTATTAAGCATGCGGCGCGTTGGAAATAGAATGATCCACCTCCTGAATCCTGGAATTTTATTTTCTATTTCATCCCAAGTTACTGGAGATCCAGGGGTCCTCGTCATTCATCGGACAAAAAACTCCCGCATTTGCAGACTCGTTTGATTTCGCGCAACAGTATAAGGAACATTATCATTTTTACTTGTTTATTCACCTGCGTTTCACTTCTACTTCGCGTTTGCTTTGACTGTCCGCCCTGGTTCATATTTTGCTTATGTAGACAGGTGCGTGGTTCAGTATGGATCAGACAACCTTAATCGGGTTGTTGCGTTTAAATTGGTGGGAAAATTAGAACCTGTAGATCTTGAATAGCAATTCCAGCACCATCTATGTGAAATTTATCACGCTCGGTAATATCAGGTTATGCATCTGCGAAATACTCTTTCTTGCTAGCGTCTACCTTAGTCATCTTTTATTGTTCCCTTGGCACGATAAACCAACTCTGAAAAGCAGACCACTTGAGATCATCGTACGGGTGATTCCAGTTTACAGCAACCGGAATGTGTGTGACAGAAAATCCCGGTCCCAAATAGGTCATGAATTGTAAACTTTCAGGTGCAGCAACAGATATCAGAGTTTTCATATAGTTTGGCTGAGTCTTATTTTCAGGGAAGAACATCATTTCATATCTGAGATTGAAGACAGCCGACGTATCCTTTCTAGCTATGTTTTCATCTGACGCCCACAGTGCCAGCTAGCTAGCCTTAGATGATTCTTGTCGCGTTTGACAAGTAGATTTTTCAGTCTTGTCCAACGGAGTTCACAACCATGATGTTAGTCAGGTTTGATCCTGAACGATATAACTGGTACCGTAATTCCAAAAGCAGAGCCTACAGAAGATCAAGCAATTTCTTCTCAAGGAAAAATACTAGTGAGCGTTTTTCTTTATATTCCGTTCGCCTAAAGACAGACTGTTCTAGATGAAACTCTTTATTGAAACAAACCTTTCTTCTGATGTCTGTGTTTTCAAGTGTGGTTCATCTAGATGGGAAATAATGATATACATCTACACCCGTATGAGTGGTTTCTGTCGAAATTTCACTTGTAAGAAGGTGCCCAATTAGTACTAAATTGGAAGATTCTTCTTCAGGATACCATTGTTAGGTAGAAGCTAAAGGTACGTTTCGCTTACCTACTAAAAATCCTTGTATGGAAAGCTGAAGTTTGAAACACCATATTGGGCCTCGCCTACAGGACAGTCTCTATAAGACATGACTCCTATGAAGAACAGGTTCTTGAGAGGAAAGCCACTTTGAAAGTAAGGTCAACGAATGTGCTCCAAACCACTTGTTCATACAACAGAAGTTGAATATTTTTCACGGGTACTGCACAGCTGCATTTGTTCATGTGGCGCGGCGTATAGTTTATAAACGAACCGTTCACAAGATTGAAAACAAGCTAGCAAGAACGATGGACACGATTTCACGAGAAAATATCAGAGGTTTGCCGCGTAACAGATAGACGGACCGCAGAAAGGAAGGGAGATTGCCAGCTTGACTTCGATGAATGAAAGTCAAGAAAACAAAAGGCAGAAACGGGAAGCTTCGATAAAGAGACTTTTTAAAAGAGGGTTCAGGTAGTTCAATTAGAACTTCTTGTAAGAGAACCCAACGTCACTTTTTGGAAAATCCAGGGTTGGGTTTAATTGTCCAACCTAGAAGAGCGAGTTTTTACGTCTGCTTGCACGAGGCCCATACAGAAGCCGACCTCTCAAGAAACAAGCCCCACATACTATGAACGGAAAGAGCGAAAGGGAACTAAGCTGCCGGGAGGGCTTGGTGCCCCACTGAGAAGGCTTTCAGTTGTCAACGTAGACTTGACTCAATCCATCAGACATAAGGAACTATCCAATCCAAAAATGGGCCACCAACCAGGCAAGAAACAGGCAAGAGACAAGGGCACCCAAGTTGAACGGATGAATCATTCGGATAAAAGAGGATATTAACCAGCATACCAAGGAATCAAACAGAAAAAATGAATGGAAACACAATAATGTGGGACCGATAAAAAGGAGCAAAAAACTTCCGAAATGTGGGTATCCAACCGATCGACGAAATGTAGGAAATGCGCATAACAGCTCAGCGTAGTCCGCAAACAGACCAGAAAACTTGGAATTAGTCAGTCACGTTAGAAAAATGTATGAGCAAAAACAGGAGGGGGCAAACTGTTCTTCCAACCATGCGTTACGGTTCCCCTTCATTGAAAACGAAAGGTTTACAAACTGGCTACTAGCCTTGTTGATGAGAGCTGCAACAATCCGACTTGTCGGAAAACACATCCCAGGCTAGCTGGTACTTGATTTGGCTGTGAATTCACACCCACTCTCACAGCGTAGCTTCATACCGTTCACCTAGTTCAATACGCCTCGTGATTCAGTGTATTTTCAGTGCCATATTACGACACAAATCGATAATTCGCAACTGTTTATGTCGTACGTAATGTGACCGACA